AAGATATGTGGGAATTTAATTTCTGCTGCGTTTTTGTGTGCTTTTCCCCATTTATTTTGAGTGGGTTGATCATTTGAGTGAGAGGAGCTGTTAGATCATTTTAGTATCGACAGGGCATATATATAATGCTGCTGCCGGTTCTATCCCGTTGTGTTATTGTGTTTGCTTCTTTTTTAGCATGGATCATTACTTCCCAGTTTCCACCACTCATAGGTGATCAATCTGTAAGTGCATTCAATTTACAATCTCTCGTGATGGTTGATTTTTGTGGCTTACTTTGTTTTTGTTAGTCGGATTAAACATGATGCGGGTTTTGTCGATGTAGCTTATTGGAAGTGATGTCACTTCCCGATCGATTCCTATTATAATGCTTTCTACTGTTTCAAAATTTTGTTTTTGTATTGTTTATGTGGTGTGAGTAACCATTGTTAGTTCTGCTCAGCCTTTGTCGCTATCTCTAATGTTATCAATTTGAAAAAAAAAAAAATGCAAGAAAGCTAACCCGACTCCGATGTCTCGCATATTGGTCGTATTGTACCGTATGAACACGGTGGTTTGTGGGAGTTTTCGATTTGGCGTGAATGGGAGATAGAAGAAAAGCTCAAAACAATCCAGAATCTCAATGGATGTTTTAAGAGTTTTTTCAAGTTTGTGAACATGTGGGTTAGAGCACCATTGGGGTTAAATAATATAGGGATGGAAAGAGTTTAATACTAGTTTTGAATCAATTAGAGTATCGACGATGCATTGAGTCTAATCTTGTCTATATGACATGTAAATAAACCAAAGTCTTGAATAATGACATGGATAAAAGTATGTAAAATCAATAGAATTTACTCAAACGCAAAGAGACTGAGTCTCTACTTGTGTCTAAAATAGACTTAAGGGTATACCGTATCTCTTTTTCTGACTGCCACATCAACAGGTTCCAGATTACTTTTGTTTGCATTGGAGAATACAATTTTTTAGATTAGGTCTATTTTTCTTATGTGGCATACAATTTTTTGTGATTGAACCCAAAACATTGTGGATGTTATGGTGATTCAAGATGAAATATTTTCTTGAGTGAAAAATATATTATAATATTTTCTTGACTTATATCGTAAAACTATTTTGTATTTAAATATATTTAATTAAAAAGATATTTTATTTTTTTCAATTATATTAATTGATAATTATTTTATTTATAAAAATAAATATAATTATTTATTTTGTATATACAATATGAATGTCAAATCAAAACTAATATAAGAAGGTTAATTTATATATTATATCTAAAAAAAGTGATAATATAAAAAAGTTAACTTTTATATATATATTTACAATTTAACTTAGTAAAGTGTATTAAAATTAAAAAAACAAACAGATCTGGGAAAAATTAATGCCTTCGGAACCGCGTCCATAATAGAAAATTATGTTAAAGCACAACTAGTGCGTATCCCGTGCGATGCACGGGTAAATAATATTAAATAATAATTATAAATAAGTATCGAGTTCGAGTCACTCAATGAAAGAAGTGGAGAACCACTATTGATCTTCTCTTAAAAGAGCAAGAAAAGATATTATAAATTAAAGATGAGGGTAAACGATATTAAATAATAATTATAAATTAACGATATGGGGTTAACATGTCATATAATTTACGGTATATCAGTTCATTATAAACGATATAAAATTAGCTTGTCCAAGAGAAGATAAAATTTGTATATTTAAATAATTAAAAACTCCTAAAATATTATATTAACATATGTAAAATTATCCAAACTTTTCTATATTATTATCAAAAGATGTGAAGTCACCTAAAACTTTTTTAATTTTTTTTTGTAAAGAAAATATATCTAAAAACATTAAAGTTTATATTTATATTGAAGATGTTTTCTGAATATGACATGATAAAATATTATATAAAAGTATCTAAAATATTATAAGCCTAAATAAATACATTATAAAGTTTTTGAAAGAAAATTTACCTAGTATATATAAAATAAATATTGACATGATGTTAAAAATTATGACGATACTACCGTACTTAAAAATTTTGAGTATAAAAGATTTCAATATTATTTTTATTATTTATTAGTAATTTGAGTAATAAAAAATTCAAAATTATTATTTTATTCTTTTAAGTAATTTGAGTGCAGAAGATTTCAAAATTATTATTATTTTTTAGTTACTGTAAATATTATTATTATTCTTTTAAGTAATTTGAGTACAGAAGATTTTAAAATTATTATTATTTTTTAGTTACTGTAAAAACAAATTTTGTACGCATAAAATTCTACGTTTTATGTAGATTTATCATTTTTACAAATAAAATAGGATTAATTTTATATTGGATGGAGACTAAGACAATTTTGAAAGAAAAAAAAACTTTCTATTTTCAAAATTATCCTCTTGATTTTGAAACAATACATTTGTAATTTGACTTAATTATTGTAAATTTTTTAAACTTATGGAAAAAAATAGAGAGATGAATTTCGGTTGATTTGAAATTGTTAAACCATTTTGAATTTCGTGCAAAAGTGCAAATTGAAACCTAAAAAAATCGTTGGAAAAAAAACCTAAAAAAATTGAAATTCATTATAATTTTGTAATTTTCAAGAGGTTTGTTAATTTTAAAGTGGCGCAAAATTCTTCATGTAAGGTTAGCCGTCCAAGGATAGAAGCATGTGATTAGATAATTTTAATTCAATTTGAACAAAATCATTTATATTAGGAAGAGATTTTGAATTAAGCCAATTTTATTGCAACTAAAATGAGAAGGGATTTTGAATTTCAAATTTTTAATTCAAGTTTTAAGGTAATTTTTTCGGCAATCTGATTGTTTTGAATAAAAAACACAATTGAAATTTTTATACAAAATATGAGAAAGGATTTTGAATTTCAAATTATATTCAATGATCGAAATTTTTAGAACTTAATGGAACCAAATCTACCAATTTATCTTTTAGGGGTTTAAATGAACTATAATTTAGTAAATGAACCAAATCCACCAAATAAATGAACTGTAATTTATTTTAAAAAAAATAAATAAATAAAAGCATTCGATTAAAACAATTGTAGTAGCCGAGTGGATGTTAAAAGAGTTTCTGATTTTTTGTAAATACTAACGTAAGTTTAAATTATTAAATTAGGTGTTATTTATTTTTTTTATAAAATAAAATTTTCAATGTGGTACACGATTATATGTTAAAGAAAGTTTTTTTTTTTTTAATTTGTGGAAATGAAAAAGGAATAGCCTAGTCTTGTGCAAAAATAAATAACAAACTCAACTTAAGAAACTCCATTAAATGAATAATTAATGATGCATGTTTGTAAATAAAAAAAATAAAATAAAAACTTGCTATTAATAGCATGCAATTAATGCTCAACAATATTTGACTACAGTTTTACTTGCCATTTTTAAAAAATGGTAATTCTTTTTATATAGATATAGATTAGTATCATAAAAAGCGTCATAAATAGGTAATGTATTATGCATAATTCAGTATATTTTTGGATTGAAAGTAATTAAAACTTCTTTAAGTCAAATGACAAAACATGAAATTATGTCACATAGGATCCCAAAACGTGGAGTCTGCTACTTACACTTAGGCTCAACACATTCGTGAATTATATATATTGCGGATGAAAAAATAATATTTTCTTTTAAAATTCAATAACTATTTAGATTTTCATTATATTTTCAGGCAAAATATATATTGTTAGTGAGAAGAAAAACCAATAACTACATCTATATCCACGTATTATTAAAGAAAATATTCTATTAATCAATTGAATAACCTTCTTTTGTCTTGTGTACTAGTAAATAAGTAATATTTTGATGACATATATAATTGAATACTTATTGACCATTTTATCAACTTTTTTCATATAGATTAAAAATTAATTATTTTTATATATATGTATGTATATTTAACTTAGCACACATAGTGAGCATATTTAATTTTAAAATTTATTTTATTATATATATACATATATGGAAATATTATTATAACTTATTTGTGAATTTCATATCAACATCCCTTAAACGAATTTTCTTTTTCAGTATTGCAACATGGTCCAAATTTATCATGTCAACCATTTTTATTAAATGTCAATTTTTTTTTTATTTATTTTTTGTTGTTAAATGCTTTTAAAATTTAATAGGAAAATGTAAATAACACGTATGTCTTTGGCTGACTGCATTTTTTAAATTTTTAGAAAAAATATATTAACAGGAAAGAAACAAAAAATCACATAAAGATGTTATATATAATAGTAGTGATATGTGCAAAAATAATTTTTAAATGTAACTTTAGAATTTTGTTTGTAAATTATTTGATTACGTTGTGTCTCACCATAATATATTAATTTAATATATGTAGTTTATTGGTAACTAAAAATGCTTCAATCATAACAAATATTTCCTCATTTTTTAAATAAATGGCGTTTTGACTTTTTTGATTCATTGATTTTGCTATGTATATAGACATATTAATGTTTAGATACATAGCAAATGGATGAATCAAAAAAGTCAAAACGCCATTTATTTAAAAAAGGAGGTAGTACTAATAATTTTAGATAATCACAAAAAATATTGATATTTTTATATAGAAAAGGTTGACCGACAATATATATAATGTTGTGTACGACTAAATTTTCAAAGTAAACATTAATTTATTTATAAAAAACAATTATATAATATATTAAAAAATAAAGCGAGAGACATATTATATATTAAATTAATTAAAAAATATAAAAGCTCGAGACTCAAACGTGGAGTAATATTTCCTATTTCACATAGAAAAGCAAAAGATTGAAGAGAGATTACAGTGGTTTATTGGATTGAATTAGATCTTTTTTCTTATTCATACATTTTTTTTTTTGCCGTGAGGAGGATAATTCACAGGTTAGTGTTTTTGATTGTAACAAATCTCTGTATTTGAATATATATTTGTTGTTTATAACTCACTGTAATCTTCTTTACGTTGACGTTGAAGTTTGTGCTGTGTAGAGAGATGAAGCGATTACGGGAGGAGGAGTATATGAACCCTCAATTTAAGCGGCCGTTCGGTGCTTCACGCGGGGAATCGTAAGTATTCTGTTTAGGTTATACTCAATTGGGAATTGTTTTTTAAGTCGAGTTATTTGCTGCTGGCCTTTGTTAGCTTTGATGTTCTGAATGTGAGGTATATGTGTTTGTGCATCTGTGTTTATTGAAACCGTGTCTGGAATCTCATTTGATTCAATAATTTGTGTTGAACTGTGAGCTATTTGATATTGTGATCGAAATACACCGAGTCCCAATTCATGTAACAGGGTTGTGATTAGGTCACCTCCTCAGCAGCAGTTGTAGAAATCGATACGAGGAAGACAAATGAATTAGGTTTTAGTACTGCTTTTGTTAGGGTTTGAAGGTTGTTAAGGGAAAGAAAGTTTGGATCTTTATGTGGCTTGCCTTAATTTTTTGTTGTTTGGTTGTAACTTGTAAGAGTAGTCTCTCTCTCTCTCTCTCTCTCTTGTGTTATGAAGTCCAGTGTTAGGTGAAAGCTGAAAAAAAATAATAAGGTAATCGTTTTATTGGCTGCTAGAGGAGGATCTTTGTTTTATCTTGTAGGCGCTAGTGTCACATTGGTAGCCTATGGTAACACAATTTGATTAAAGCGTTTTCAATATGAATCAGTGGATTAAAAAAGATGTTCTTTATTACTTACTAGGCTAACTGTTGAATGGAATTGTCCAATACTGGTTTTCCGAAGCTATATGTAATTGTTTCTTCTCTCATTTTAATAAAGGTATGCGCCATCACAATCTCATAGTGCCAATGGAGGTGGAGAAGTTGGAGTTGAAAGCGAGAATGGTGGTATCGGTAGTGGTGGAGGCGTTGTTGCTAGTAGTACACAAAAGCTTACCACCAATGATGCATTGAGTTATTTGAAGCAAGTTAAGGACATGTTCCAAGATCAAAAGGAAAAGTATGAAAGTTTCCTTGATGTCATGAAGGATTTTAAGGCTCAAAGGTAAATAAATATGTTGGTATGATCACCATTGACAGATAGATCTGATAATAAGTGATATTATTTTCTCAAAGTCTTTCTTGTTTCTCGCAGAATTGACACTGCTGGTGTCATAGCAAGGGTAAAGGAATTGTTTAAAGGCCACCCGAATCTAATCCTAGGTTTTAATACATTCTTGCCCAAGGGTTATGAAATTACCCTAACCGACGAGGAAGAGGCTCTGCCAAAAAGGATAGTTGAGTTTGAAGAGGCCATCAGTTTTGTCAATAAAATTAAGGTAGGGATTATGTTAACGTGTGTGATAAACGAAAATGGGTGGTTGAATTTTGATTCTGAGGAAGTTCAGTAACAACGATTTGTCCTTACTTTGTTTATGTGCAGAGACGATTTCAAAAGGATGATCATGTTTATAAATCTTTCCTAGATATCTTGAATATGTATCGGAAGGAACACAAGAGTATAACTGAGGTCTACCGAGAGGTATGTATCTCTCCTGTAAACAGTACCTCATTTTGTTCACTCTATCATATGAGGTTTTTAATGTATATTTTTGCAGGTTGCAGCACTTTTTGATGACCATCCTGACCTTTGTGACGAATTTACTAGATTTTTGCCCGATACTCAGGCGGCTGCTTCAACTCCGTATGCTTCATTTGGTCGTCAGTCCTATGATGAGAAGAGTTCTGCCTTGCCTACAACACGTCCGGTAGATAAGGTTATTTTCTGCATTTATTCATTTGATACAGCTCTTTATGATTTGTCGCTTACATCTAAATTTTTTGTATCTCTATTTGAAGAGATTACCGAGGGACAGTATTATGGATCCCAATGGAGAACGTGATCCTAGTATAGCGCGTGCAGATATGGATGATAATAAAGCAATAACTAAGCTGCCCAAAGAGCAGAAGAAGCTTACTGAAAAAGAAAGCAGGGATAAGATGAATTGCTATCTGGATGGTAGAGACCCTGATATGGAGAAGACTGGTAATCATAGGATGCATCGGCCGTCTGACAAAAAGAAGCCTGCTCTGAATGTTGAAGACTTTGGTCGGGCACCTATTACCTCCTTTGATGATAAAGATGCATTAAAAAGTCAGTTAACAGTTCCTTGATTTGCAGCTATAGTGTAGGATAACTGTCTGTCATTCGCAATTTCGCAACATACCTTATTTTTCTTTTCTATTTCCCTCCTGAGAAATAAGAATTGGGCATGTTACCTGGTATTAGTTCTGTGCATTGCGGTAAATAGGATTATATAAAAATTTAACAAACTATATATATATTTCACATATTGTTTTGGAACAATCAAATTCCTTAATCTCCCCATGACATTAAGAATAATTAAGTTAGAAAGAGAAGTAATGCTAGTGATAGAAGGTTGACAGGGAGCACGTCTCCCTTTTTTGCGCTATTGATCTTTCCGCTTCTACATTTGTACATGCACTGCATCTCTCTTTTTTCAGTTTGGTGCCTTCTGGTATTAAGTTTTGTTTGATCTTGGCAGGTTCGTACAACTACGAGTTCTCTTTCTGTGATAGAGTCAAAGAGAGGCTGCAGAGTGAAGTTGATTGCCAGGAATTTTTAAATTGCCTTCAAATTTACAGTTCAGAAATCATTACTAGAAAAGAACTGCAGATTTTGGTTAGTGTCGACCCTCTATTAGAATGTTTCACATCACTTGGATTTTTGTTTTTGGTGTACCAACTACCAACGTCTGGATTAAAAGTGTTTGTGGCTTCATTATCCAGTACTGCTATGGGATTCGGCTGAAACTTATACATTTCATGTATCTCTTATATTATGTACTTTCAGGTTGCTGATTTACTTGGAAAATATCCAGATCTAATGGAGGGTTTCAACGAGTTTTTGGAGCGCTGTGAGCGCATTGGTATTCATCGATTTTCACTTTGTAAAGTCGTATTTCTTTTATTAACTTTCTACTCACAACTTATTGCTTATTCTTCAGATGGATATCTGGCTGGTGTTGTGAGAAAAAGTACGCATTTTGCCACATATTGTTCTTTTCCTTAGTATGAAAAAATCTCAATTTTGTGACTCATGTGAAGTGCTGCTGACCATCCTCCAACTTTAGTTTTCTCCCACTTCTATCAGAAACACCAGTTTTTGGATCCGCAATGTGATAAAACCTGTTTTTGTTACTGACAGAAACATTAAGGAATGACGGGAATTCTTCAAAAGCCCCTAGAATAGATGAGAAGGAGAAAGAACAAAAGCATGACTTGGAAGGAGGGAAAGAGAATGGGTGCAACTTGAAATACTGGGGAAAGTCCATTCAGGAGCTTGACCTATCTGATTGTCAACAGTGCACTCCTAGCTATCGGCTTCTTCCTAAGGATGTAAGAGTTCTATATATATATATATATATATATATATATATGTATATTATGAAAGACATGTTAAGAAGCATTATTTGATTAACTAGTACACATGTCCCGTTGCACTTTTTTTTTTAAAAAAAAAATAAAAAATATTTGAGTTTGTAAAATATCTGTGCTTCCAATATGTACTAAAATGTAATATTACTAAATATAAGTGAAAACCATAAAACTTCTTAAATAAAAATATAAATAAATTATATTGTAAATAAAAGGGGAATATAAAAAATATGTTTTGTATATAAATGATCTTTTCTCAACATGTCTCATTCTTAGTAATTATCACCTCATATTCATGATATGGAACAGTATATGAACACAAATACAGAAGATATCTCGACTTGTCAAATATTTAATCATCAAATTCCGTAATTAGAGTATCAAATGAATGGGACGATATTTAATCTGAGTTATCAAATCAAATAAATAAATAAACCTTCCAAACAAATGAATTTTAACTTGCTGAATTTATTATAAAATGTTTTGGCAGGCAAAAAACTCCACTCCTGGATTATAAAAATGTATTATTACTGAACAGTCTGAACTGTCTTTGGCTTTTTGCAGTATCCAATATCTATAGCTAGCCAGAGGTCAGAGCTTGGTGCTCAAGTTCTAAATGATCATTGGGTGTCTGTGACATCTGGTAGTGAGGATTATTCTTTTAAACATATGCGGAAAAATCAGTATGAAGAAAGCCTGTTCAGATGTGAGGATGATAGGTACATAATCTTGATATTCGGTTTGCTGATTCTTTGGGTCATGTAGTTCCTGGACATTCCAGGGGCGCATATACGCCTGAGCTGTTTGCTAATTGTGTGTCCTTTGGGTTCAGATTTGAGCTAGACATGTTGTTGCAGTCAGTGAGTTCAACTGCTAAGCGAGCTGAAGAGCTTTTGAACAATATCAATAATAGTTCAGTTGGGTCAGATGGTCCCATACGAATTGAGAAGTACTTCACAGGTTTGTAGCATTAGAATCTGGGTCATACTACTGATGGAGATTTTCCATTTTTCTCATTCCTTTTCTTTTCCAGAATGTTCACGTGTATTAATTGTTAAAAGAATTGTCTCTCTTAATTCATACAGCTCTTAATTTGAGATGCATTGAACGACTATATGGGGAACATGGTCTTGATGTGATGGACATTCTGCGTAAAAATCCACCACTTGCTTTGCCTGTTGTCCTAACACGTCTGAAGCAGAAGCAAGAAGATTGGACCAAGTGCCGTTCAGATTTTAACAAGGTGTGGGCTGAGATATATTCTAAGAATCACTACAAGTCTCTCGATCATCGCAGCTTCTATTTCAAGCAGCAAGATTCAAAGAAGTTGAGCACAAAATGTAAGCTGAAAATTATAGCTGTACTTTGTGTAATGTTTTTTTTATCTTGTCTGTTTGCCTCTGATTTTCTGATTTCCTGTTAGTTACCATTTATCTTTAGTAAGCAGCATCTGCCTAGTTCACTTTATTCTTCACTTGGTCACACTCTCTGTTTTTGCTCAGAAAGTGATAATGTTTTTGGAAATTTTGCTCTCCCATAACTGCGTACCATGTAATGATTCAAAGATTTTTAGCACATCTTTTCTCTCTACCCTGAGTTTGTTTCTCATATTCTTCCATCCTTCCAATGGTCAGCCTTAGTGGCAGAGATCAAAGAAATCAAAGAGAAAAGGCAGAATGAGGATGATGTACTTCTTAGTATTGCTGCTGGAAGGAGGCATTTTGTCACTCCTGACCTCGAATTTGATTATGCCGATGCTGATGTTCAAGAAGATGTCTTTAAGATTATCAAGTACTCCTGTGAAGAGATCTGTTCAGCAAAAGATCAATATAATAAAGCTTTGAGGTTTTGGACTACTTTTCTTGAGCCGATGTTGGGTGTTCATTCTCATCGCCATGGTTTGGAGACTGATGAAGGTAACGATGTCTCCAAATGCCAAAATAACGAAGACAACACTGGTGTAATAGAAAGGGATGCTAGTGCAAATACCGATCTTACCACCACAAATTTGAAGCTAGCAAAGTCTAATTGCAATGGAGATTCTAGTTCAACACCTCAAAGAACGGATTTCAGAACTGGTTTCACGAATGTGGGTAGTTCGGCTGAAGAAGGAATAGCAGTGGCTTCTGGTGAAAGATTAACCAATCCAAATGCAGCTGTTACTTTAGGATCAGACATTAATCACGGTATGCATAGCATTGATTTTGACTAAATTTTTTTATGACTGACGATGGCCTAATTGTATTGACTTTTTTTTTTTCTTCTTTCTAATCTACCGTTAGTATTTACTTTGTTTTAACTTATTTTTATATAATGGGAACTATTTTGAAATCAAAGGGTATGGCGCATGTGCTTCAAAAGTGAGTAATGTTGCCACTGAGGAAGGCAATGAAGCCAGATCAAATATGGATGATACAACTCCCTCAGCGGTAAACGTGACTTTTAGATTTCAGTTCTTGTCTTTCCGGATGAACTCTGTGCGGTATTGCCATTTTTCCTTCTGCATTGATATGATTTTATACCCCACATCGGGCATTGGGCTAATAGTGAGAGAGATGGGATTTTCCAACTTTCCTTAATTCCTTTCTTTTAGTAATTGTTCTCAACCCCCCACCCCCCGGAAACACGCACACACACACACACACACACACACACACACACACTTTTCCGTGGTTATATAAAATCCTTGGCAGGGCGCGTTGTTAGGGGTTTAAAATGGATTTTTGTAGCCTAATTCATAATGATTAATTTTGTTTGTCCATTAATTTTAACTGGATAAATGTTATTATTTATCAAAAAAAAAAAAAACTGTAAGTCGTGTTTATTTAAGTGCAACAGGGTGGGGAGCAATCTAGATTGAGAAAGCCATCAGGTGGAGATTATGCAGAAGGGTCCATACTTTCCAGATATAATGAGGATCCTGCTGATCCTTGTAAAAATGAGAAAGAGGAGGGTGAGCTGTCTCCTAATTGTGATTCTGAAGATAATTTTGGTTCCTACCAAGACAGCATTCTGCAAGTCTCGCCTGAAAAAAAGCATGGCAATGGAGTAAGCCAAGGTCAAACGAAGGATCGCAAAGACAATGCTGATGACAGTGAAAATCCATCAGAAGCTGGAGGAGATGTTTCAGGCAGTGAGTCTGCTGCTGATGTGTATTCACGGGAAGATCCTGAGGAAGAAGAAGATGGCAAAGCCGAAAGTGAAGGTGAGGATCATGGTGGAGATGCTGCTGCTTTGGTGCCGCAATCTGAACGATTTATGCTGATGTGTAAACCTCTATCAAAGCATGTGGCTTCCTCATTGATAGGCGATGAGAAGAAGGATCAACATGTTTTCTATGGAAACGACATATTTTATGTGCTTTTTAGGCTGCATCAGGTAAATTCATTAGTGTTATTGTTTTGCTGTGTTGTGCTATTGCGGAATAAAATTTATCAAACTTCGTAACGGGGAAAGACATTCCAGTTCTATGTTCAGTTTTTTTCCCCTTATGGTAAATGATTTTTCTTTTCCATCAACTTCAGACACTTTATGAGAGAATACTATTTGCTAAAGTCAATTCAGTACGTGATGAATCAAAGTTGAAAAACACAAAAGATGCGACTCCCGATCCATATGTTAGGTGAAGTTTTGAGTCTTTAATTTACTTCCTGAAAACACTTAGAATGCTATATAGGCTCTTGTTTGACTTTGCTTTTTGCATGATTGTTGCTGCAGATTCATGGGTGCACTTTTCAGTTTACTTGATGGATCTTCTGACAATACAAAATTCGAAGATGATTGTCGATCTTTGATTGGGAATCAGTCCTACATGCTATTCACATTGGATAAGTTGATCTATAAGTTGGTTAAACAGGTAATGTTCCTAAAAAATTAGTTTTCTGTTTTTCCTAGACTCGGTTTTAATTGACACCTTTTTCTGATTATCGTGTTTCCTTTGCAGCTTCAAACTGTTTCAAGTGATGAGGCTGAATGTAAGCTGGTTCAGTTGTATCAATATGAGAAATCTAGGAAGCCAGAGAAGTTTGTTGATTCAGTTTATTATGAAAATGTTAATGTCCTTTTGCACGACGAGAATATATACCGGTTCGAACGTGTAGGTCCCATGTGAATGAGTTCTCTCTGTTTTCATGTTAATTTTATATTTTCTTTATTCTATTCAAGAATCATGCTCTGATGCTCAGTTTTGTCCGTGCTTGGTGTAGATATCCAATCCGACTCAGTTTTCCATCCAGTTGATGAATGATGAAGATGAGAAGTCTGAAGTTTTTGCAGTTTCAATAGATCCGAATTTCGCGACGCATCTTCACGAGGAGTATCTTTCAGTGAACCATGTAAAGGAGGAGTCATCATTGAATATGCTGAAAAGGTATATTTATGCTGAATAGTTTTACATTTTTCATCCAATGTGGTTTTATGGTACAAGTGATTGATATTTTGGGCGAATATGAAAATATTAATTAATGTTGGTAAAAGTCTAAGCTGCCCGGCTAAATGCTTTGGTTATTGGAAGAACTAGTTAATTACATATTCGGCTTAAGGAACAAAAACACAAAAGATTTACCAATTCGTTTTCTGATTTCTTTTTACAAGTCATTGCTTTAAGTGATAATTATGGTTTCGATAAAATTGAAGAAATATTGAAATGAAAATGTTTCGTTTTCTGTTTTTACTTGTGCTGCATGCAGGAATCTACGCAAGTGTAGGAACATAGACGAACCCACTGCGCTGTATAGGGCAATGGAAAATGTTCTGATCATGAATGGGTTGGAATGTAAGATGGCGGCAAGCACATCAAAGGTATAATTTTCTTTCTTAATTCCTTTTTTTTTTTTTTTTGTAATTCTAGTCGATGCCGATTTTTTTATTTCTTTCTACCCTCATTGTGATGATGTACTTAGAATTTGGTGTACAGTGTTCAATTTTTTTCCCCAAGTCTACAGATGTTTATTGATCTCATTAACTGATGTTACTTTCAGGCCATTTATTTTCATCATTTAGTTTAATTTGCTGAATAATGCAACAGTTTTTTCTGGATTGGTATCGTTTTACCTTACATGAAATAGCTGCCTGTTCTAAAAATACGTAGGACGAGTGTGGACCACTATAGTCATAGTTTATTACTATGCAGTCCTTTTATTCTGTTGGAACTTCAACTTCTTGTCACTTATTTGCTCTCTGCCTCTCTCAGATCACGTATGTTATCGACACGGAGGATTCATTTATTCGTTTAGGAAGGAAACTGGTTAGATCTTCTTCGTCCAACGAACAAACAAAGGTCCAACGGTTTCACAAGTTTTTGGCAGCCTCTATTGGGGATTCAAAGGGAACCCCTTTGTGATGCTTTTGAGGTATATGTAACTCTTTATGCATTTCCCTTTTCCTTAAGAAAAGCCCTCTTAAGATTTGGCCTGCAAATACATTCCCTTTAAGATTTGGTTTTCAAATTGGACCATCAATGAGGGAATATTTCTTGTGGAAATCTCATATATATGCTCCTTTTTTTGTTCTTGAGCTGAAGTTCAATCATGGATCTCGGCTCATACGAGAATTGTTCCTGCAATTTTATTTATTTGCTAGAGACCAACGACTCGTTCGGTAATGATGATTTCTTCAAGATCGGGCGAGTGGCATTGGTATTTGTTTCTGTACATAGTAAGGTCTGGTCCGCGTGCCAGTAACCATTTTCATTATATTTTATTCGTAGGGGTTTCAGACCGTTGTTATGTACAGAATACAGATCAACATGGTGTAAGAAAAAGAGAAGGGAGATGGGGGGAAATAGCATATATCAGAAACATGTATCAAACTTTTTGACCTTATGTTTTCTTGAATATATGTATATATATTTCACTTGCCAATGCATTTATAAGATATCTTTCTAAATCCATGTACATTTTTTTTTTATTTTTTTTATTATTATTTAGAAATTTCCTTCTGGAGTGTATAATACCTTGTATAATATCACGAGGAAAAACGTAAGAAAGAAATTGGAAAAATATCAACTTTTACCATATATAAATATGATTTTCTTTTATTTATTTGACTTTTTTTTTATCAGATATAAATATAATTTACTTCCAAAACACAACATAAACTAGGACCAAATTGAACATTCATGTGACAAACAAGTTTTGACTGACTTGGTCAACTTGCATTTACATCTAATCTAAAATCTCAATTATCAACTCAACAACTGAGTTTATTTATTACCAATAGTTGGTCAACTTGCATTTACATCTAATCTAAAGTCTCAATTATCAACTCAACAACTACATTTATTTATTAAGACATGAAGCAGTGAAACAATGCAGTGAAAAAATGCAACTTGCAAGTTTATATACACAAAGTCTCAAACACAAACTCTCACGCACATCCGTTGCTGGTGTGCGTTTGATCCAACGGGTAAAAAATCGTGTGGGCAGATCAGGATGAAATTTACCAGATGAAACCGTTGCTGGTGTGCGTTCGATCCAACGGGTAAAAAATCGTGTGGGCAGATCAAGATGAAATTTACTAGTGATAGTTGAAATGTTTCTAGAAGCGAAATCATATGATTCAATTATGATTATATATTATTTATTTAACACTGTTTTTTAGGATGACACATACAAGGTGGAATTATCAAAGAACTATAAATGAGAAAAGAAAAAGAGTCACAGAATTAAATCTCTTTCCCTCTTTCTGCTTCAGCTATAACAAACCAACAACACAACTTAGATGCAATCTGTTCTCCAAACCCCTCAGATGATGGCCCAGTAACATGCACCTGCCAAAAAACAACATATCTTCTTCATTACTATTTTACACGAGTTTCTTCTAATTTTATTCCCGAACATGCAATGATACTATTTGCTTAAATTAGAAAATAAGATGATAAAATAATTTAACACTGACCAGAAGAGCAACTTGGCCAAGTAATCCCGAGAAGTGCCAATGATAGCATCACCAAATTCACTATCCGTGTCTTCGCAGTCTTGTATGCTGCTCGAAGCCAAATCCTCGTTATCAGATACAATCTCCTCTTTGAAAAATCTCCTCAATATATTTCGAGCAAGTTGGTGGATAATATCTTCCACCTCCGGTGAAGATGGTTTAGATAGCTCCATTACCTGAAAAGTTAAAAATAAATCTCTTTTCATGGGTCCTCACTCCACACCAAGGATTATGATCATCCATCAACACAGGCAACTAAAAGGATATATCGGTTACTATATCAGGTTATTATTATTACCATATCAGGCTCCAATGACCTCAGGTACTCCAGAAGATTGTTACTACTCTTCTTAATACGCTCCATCTGCAAATTTTCCTGTTTCTGGGCATGAAGTTCCTAAACAAACAGTCAGGTATAATCAATAGAATATAATTTAAGGAGTTCCACCAGATACATGTGCAAGTAATAATGTTCATCAATATAAAGTATTAAAGTCCCCGACGCACATCCAGAGGATTCTAAAAGAAATGCACCACTTACAGAAATCACACAGAGGTTAAAAACTCAACCTTTGGATATGGTGCCTTGTGAAGATTATCATAATTGCCATGTGCTTTGCTTGTTTTATAAAAAAACAGCAAATGATTTACACACTTCCATCGAAGGAAATCTTATTAGAAATGGGTCACATTGGTATCATTATCACTTGCACCTTCAGTTTTAGCTAGAATATAGAACACATGTGTCAACAACATAATATTGTTTCACTATCATATCTTGTAACCAGGCAATTCATACTATAGGTAGCCAACCGTGCTTTGCAAGTATAAACGAGTTCAAACAAAAAATCTAACAGAACTAAATCATCTTCCATTGGTAGCCTCACTAAGATTGGAAATCACGATGGATCTTCTCAACAGAGTACATTTGATAAATTTCTGTCTCAAGCAGAAAGATCACTACCCATAACTCAGGCATTCAATATGCTCGTAAAAGGAAATTTTCAAATTCTCTTCAATTTTTGTGGAAGAAGATTTAATGTTGCTAATATTATAGCCAAATATACAATAAAGGAACTAGCTAACTTGCTGTTACAAATCACACAAATAAGCCTCACGAAGCAAAATTCAGATGCCACCAAGACTAAAAACTCACCTGCTTAGTAGCTAACAACTCTGATTCTAATTTCTGTATATACTTTAAAGCTTCCGGTGATAAATCTCTCGAATTTTGTAGATTCAATCTATCCAATTCATCTGCACTCACTTGAACATCACCACCAAGTCCTCTGTCATCTCCGCCACCATCACCGGCCTCCCACCTCACCTCCGAGGCCCCATCATTATCGACAAAATCAGAACTTTTGAGACTATCAGGCGACATATCGAAATTCCTCATCAAAGATATCCTATACTCTGCATTCCAAAGTGTGTATCTACAAAACACAGAGCCCAATTAATTAGTTGAAGTCAGTAACTAGTAAAATTCTGTAAAATCGATAAACAGGAACCACACAAATTCAATCAAGGCTGATTTGAGCAACACAATATTGTGAAATTACCCAGTGACTATGGAGGAGACTAATAGATGATCGAGGGGCTGTTTTGAAACCCTAACGGTGACAGAAAACTGATCGGACGGAAGAAGCCCGAGCATAGTTGAAATCGTCTGCTTCATGGAGTCCTTAGCCGAATCCGAGACCCCCTTGGAGATAACTGAATTGTCGAGGGGCTCGATTCTCTTCAGCATGTTCGCTATGACGGAGAATTCACGGCTGAAGCCGGATTTTCTGGTGGAAACGAACTCGTCGGAGACTCCTCCACCGTCTACGCCGGAAATCAAGCAGCTGATTGCGGCAGCGCGCTTCTTGGGGGCCGCAGCGGCGGCGGCGAGCAAGGGGCGTATGAGGAGGTGGTGGATGGGAGGGGACAGGGACGGCCGGGAGGTCGTCCTGACGGAAAAATCGGCGGCGGTTGAGATGAACACGGCCCTCGCTGCAGCTGAGACAGCCATTGATGGGCTGGTATTCCCTCTGCTTTACCTTGTAATCTGCGTCGTGAGTCTCAGCCTAAACGATATCTTTGTTGGTGATGATGATTTTGTTGGGTGGTGAGATTAGGTGGTGAGTTGCCTTCTCATTGCGCTTAATTACGGATTTACCATTGAAAGTCTCACTATGTAAATCAAGATTCTTTGACTATGAAATTGAGTTTGCTCATAAAAAATAATGATGATTTGAGCTCGATCTTCAATCAATCAAATTGAAGTAATAGTTCAATAAGTTTTGGAAAATTTCATATTTTTTGAATTGAACGGTTTTAGCATCTCAGCGAATTAATAAATTAAGTTCAAGCTCAACTTGTTTGAATGGAGTCGAGACAATTTGAGAATTTGATGATGATGATTTTGTTGGGTGGTGAAGTTTGGTGAATAGCCTTCTAATTGCGCCTAATAACGAATTCACCACTAAAATCGGTGACTTTAGTGTCACAACAAGATTGTCGAGTGTGAGTAAACCAACAAAAGGGTTGAACCGAACATATAAATAATTGACTTGGTAAAAATAATGGGAACTTTGTTCTCTTATAAAAAGTTGTGAATGGGGCTTGACATTCAATAAGTCGAACTAAATTAATAGTCCAATAATTTTTATAAATAGTTCAATAATATTTATAAAATTCCTTAGTTCTTGACCCTAGCGAGTTTACCCACTCACAAAGTTATTACCTTAAACTCAAGCTCGATTGTCTAAGTCGAGCTCAAATCTTAACAAGTCGAGTCGAACTGAAATGAGAATTTGGTGATGATGATTTTGTTGGTGGTGAGGTTTGCTGAATGGATTCCCATTGCCCCTAATTATGGATTTAACATTATATTAAGCTCAAGTCTGCGACATCTTTGTTGGTGATGATGATTTTGTTGGGTGGTGAGGTTTGGAGAATGACCTTCGCTTTGTGCCTAATTAAGGAGCGACTTAGTTCTAGAGAAGTCGAGCTAATAACACAATTAAAATACCTAATAAAGTAGATTAGTGTGAACACATCACGTAATGTATAAAAAATATATAATTAAGATAAGAATGACATGTAGATAGGACCACGTGAATTAATAGAATTTGGCAGTTTGAGCACTTGGGTAGTACAAATGAGTAGCACATGCATTGTGCAACTCAATCAGAGAGTATTGGACAACAAGTCAATATTTCTATATAAAGGGGTACGGTATAAATTATACTCTACACTCTACACACTTTTATATATATACAACTATACACAATTCATATTATTCATCGTTTTATTTATCACTGATTACTGAGCGTCACAGTTTCTACGTTGAGACAACTCATGATTAATACACATTTACCAATAAAAAGTACTTTCACTTCATTACACATCTACATAACAATTATTATTAATTCATATTAAGTACTTTCACTTCATTACACATCTACATAACAATTATTATTAATTCATATTATATTATTTCAGATAATCATTGCGTTTTTATTATATATATTCATTCACAATTTTAATTTAATCTACTGTTTTCTAGTATTCACTACAAGAAAATGATGAAATTCCAACATAAATATATTGCAACGGCAAATCCAACGGATATTTCAATACTATTTTGGGTTTTTTTAATGGATTCCAACGGAAATTCCAACAAAAATATTCCATTGGAATGAGATTCCCATTGGAATTTCCGTTGGATTTTGACGATTCTAACGGTGGATTTTTCAATGGGTGTGAAAATAAAAACTTCCAACATAAATTGCATATTCCAGTTGAAAATATAGTAGTTGGAATTAAGTTTACAAACAAAAATTGCATATTCCAACGGTAAAATACCCTACAATGATCGACCTGAAGATATAGGCTGCGTTTGTTTAATGGCTTTTTGGCCAAAAAAAGAGCTTTTCCATCTATTAGATGTTTGACTTTTTACAATCAGCTAAAATAGTGTTTGGTAAACAACTTTTACAATTAGCTTTTTGGCCCATTCCGCTAATCTATTAATATATAATAAGGATTAACTTAATTCAATTTTAGAAACTATTTCCCGCCAAATTCATTAATTATAGCCTAAAAATAGTAAATTAACATAATTTCCTAAAATTGCTCTTAATTATTTCTGATTAACATTATTTTTTTTATGGAATAAAACGTTTTATGGAATAAATCATTTACGCTATTATTTCCGATTTTTATTTATGGAACAAATCATTTTGTGGCTCCATTAACAAAATAACGAGCATTAATTGCACATAATTTCCTAAAATTGCTCTTATTTATTTCGGATTAACATTAATTATTTATCGAATAAATCATTTTTTCACGCCAAGATTTCCGATTTTTTGTGGCTCTATTAACAAAACAACAAGCATTAATTGCAGATACTATGGAATAAATCTCCTCTTTTTAATTCTTCATATAAATCTCCTCTTTCAAGGCTCCATATAAATCATTTATATGATAAAATCTTAACAATATCTTTATATTTAAATAATTTTCATCAATGACTCTTTTCGATACCAACGTGCTAAACAACAATTTGTATAAAAGGATATTCACTACCACGATTATTTCTTCACTTCATTCACAGTGTTCAGAGAAAAAAAAAATATATAGATAAATTTTAGAATACATCGATAATATAATGCCGCTGGTCTGTGATACACTCGATTCCGTGAGTAGGACAAACAAACCTTATTTGCGATTGAAAGCAGTCCGAATAATTGAAACGCATCACGAACGGGAGAGCTGGAACGCATTCCATATACTGTTTCATGATGAACAGGTAAATATTTTCATTAGTAATATCAATATTATTTCTAATATATTTATATTATGAATTTCATTATTCTTCCATGTCCTTGAAGGTTATTATTTCTAATATATTTATTGTTTTATTAATTTTATTATGTTTTATTGTCATTCCATGTCGTTGAATTATGAATTTTAGTGTTATTATATTTGTTATCGTGATATTACGTCTCTCATTCGTTTGGATTAAGTAATATTTACATGCTTGAATTATTGAGTTCCAATTGTTGTTTAAAATAAAATATCGAATTCTTTTTTTCTTTTATGCGCTTAAAAAAATATTAAACTTAATCAATTAATCAACTAATTAAATGACCTTTTTTAATTTTTTACTTTATAAATGTCATACGTGTTATAACAACTTATTAATAAATGACCTTTTAATTTTTTAAATTTTTCTAAAACATGTACTAGCCCGTGCATCGCACGGGTTACATACTAGTGTGGAAAACGCTGCTTTTGCTAGTGTTCGATATTGGCAGTTCAAGAAAACAAAATAAAAAGTCTTACTTGCCCACATTTATACCACACGCACAGTTACAAAAAAAATATTTTTAAATCAAAACTTGTTCACTGCTTGTATCTCTTATCCACACCTACAACAATAAAATATTATATCACATTTTCATATTTAAAAATGTAATAATATTTTTTTTTTTTTAAATCATAACTAATGAACATAAGAAAAATATTTATAAATGTAATTCAAACTAATTTTAGTATAATACTTAACAATTAATTTTACAAATTATTTTATAAAGTTTTAAACATATATAATTTAGTTACTTAGATGTAAATGGGAACTTTTTAGAAAATTGTTAAATGTAAATTTTAGTTAGTTAGATATTATTTATTTATTTATTTTAAACAGTAATGACTTATTATTAAGTTTCTTTATATGAGGTGAACTTATTTACTCAGTTAAGAAATATTTTTTTATTATTATTTATATGTTATTATATTTTAAATTACTTCAATAAATATTTAAATATTAATTATTTTTATTCTCTAAATAATTATAAGTTCAACACAAATAAGAATGATAAATTATGTTGATGTCAAGTAATTTTACATGTTAACAGCTAATTAGAAATAACTAATTTTACCAAATACTCTTTTACAGACCGCTAACACAATCATCTTGTCAAAACAGCTAATATAATCCGCTGGTCAAAGCAGCTAAGAGCATCCACAATGCTTTGGGTCTCTTTTTGCATATGTGGCAAATAAATAGACTTAAGTCCATAATGACATGGACAAACCCAAACTAAAAAATCCAAAATCTATCCAATGCAAAACAAAAAAGTAATAGGTCTAGAATACATGACAACCAATAAAAATACTCTAATATATTTCATTTATTAAAAGAAAAACTAAATGAGGAATAAATGATGAGTGCTTGGGTTTGTACTTGGGTCTAAAATAGACCCAAGTGTGGACTAGGTCTCATTTTTTTATTGCCACATAAGCTAGACTAGGTCTACATTTAATTGCATTGGAGAACACTTTTTTATAGACTAGGTCTATTTCTTCATGGCATGTAACTTTTTTCTAAGAGACCCAAAGCATTGTGGGTGCTCTAATGCAATCAGCTAACCGCTAATTACCAAAGAAGGCTAATAATTCTGTTTGGGTAACTGCAAAGCCGCCTTGTTATGCGGGCAGCCATATATCAGACTTTCAACGCAACTATATACACACACAACCCACGCACAAATCACAACAAGCTTCCATTTTTCACCTTAAGAAAAAGCATTATACGGTTCGTCGCCTTCATTCCGCGTCACCGGCGAGCAATGGCTTCATCATCAGCTCTCAAGCGGTGGCTCAGGCCCGAGGTCAGCCGTAGATCTCCGCATATCTATCTCTTGATCTACCATTAATTTCGGTTTTTTTTTTTTTT